TAGGCGGAACGGTGGGAATGGTTAAAACTGGAATTGTGCAGCCGCTTGTGTGGGGCAGCTCGACCTGAAAATTTGGGGTTTTCTTTAATTCTTTCCACTGCTCCCCGTAGAGTTTTTTGGGTTTGTTTTTAATTCCCCGTGCTGCTCGTTTGGAAGGGCTACCTCTTTGCTGTTGAGCGGCCAAGAATCTCCCTGAATGCTGGGGGGGGAAGCAGCAGGGTGGGATTTCTCTTGACTTCAGCCGGGCCCTCACCAGGCTCCTGGGTTCGTCTGGGTAACGCTCGCAACTGCAGCGATCGCAGCTTGTACGCATAAGTGAGCTACTGCTGTTAGAGCTGCAGAAAATTTATTCTGAATTACTGAGTGTGTCTGCTCAAATGAAATGTTTGTTAGCATTCATAATGAAAATGCTGAGAGGACTTTAATCCCTCTGAGAGTTTGTTTGTTTGGCTACAGGCAGCTCGGAAGTACTGGTCCTATAACCATATGCACCTCGATGACAAAAGTTGGGTGTTTTTCATGCCTCAGATGAGAAAAAGTTTATGACCTGCAGTTCTTCCAGAGGAATGATCAGAGGCTCTGCCCTGGCCCTACTGAGGTGGCTGTCCTTGGTCAGTAACCAGTACCTACAACTTTGCCACTGCGCAGCTCTGAATAAAAAGGTAATCCATTAAACGTGGCTTTATTTCCCCAAATCTAGAACTGAAATGCTATAGGAGTGCATCCACAAGGCGCCTGCGTAGGGTTGAAGCTACTTACTGATATGTTCAGTAACTTTAATCATAAGCGGCACTGTTTGCTTGTTTGTTTCAGAACACTGGGCGAGAGATACTGTTACTAATTTCTTCTTTTTTGGGAGTCTGTTTTCCCTTTCAAACATCAGTGAAGTGTCCCTGTGTCACTTTTGCCACCGGTGTATTTCACTTTTTTTTTTTTTCCTTTACAGCTGTCTTTAGCCGCTAACACTTACGGATAGTTTGCTTTTTGACTTTTCAATGTTCTGTTAAGGTGGTTTTTTATTTTATAAAGCTATCGGATGTTTTTTCAACCTCTAAAAAAGCTTAATTATATTTTACATTGTTTTATATCTGTTACTTGGGTTTCTAAATCTTACAGTAGTATAAAATAAATATCCCAAATTAGTAATTTGAATAGGATGTGTTAACTCAGTTGATCTTGTAGAGTGGTGTTAACTCCACAGAAAATTTAAATGTCTTCAGAAGACAAAGAAGCTCAGGAGGATGAGCTGCTGGCTTTGGCTAGCATTTATGATGAAGATGAGTTTAAGAGAGCCGAGTCTGCCCAAGGAGGAGAAACAAGAATTTGTCTGGAGTTGCCTCAAAACTTCAAAATTTTTGTGAGTGGTGAGTTGAGATGTTTTGTGTTATCCTGAAATTAGGTTTGACCAAGCTAATTTTCTGGTACCTGCTTAGATGATTGCTGCTCTAGTGAGCTACAGGAGCACTGACCAGATGTCGTGGTTTAACGCCAGCCGGCAACTAAGCCCCATGCAGCCGCTCGCTCGCTCCCCCAGCATCGGGATGGGGGAGAGAATC